CTCTCTCTCCCAGCTCGCCTTGCCTTGCAGATCAGTCTCTCCCCGGCTTGGTCTCTCTGCAATAGGCAACCACAGCTCCTACTCGCAGACCCAACTCTTCCCTCTCGCACTGATTGCAATGAATTTTCTGCTCGAATGTAGGTCGCTTACAGCCGAGAACACGAGTTTCCTTCAAATTCAGTGTTGTTGTCTTTCTTCTCGTTATTTTTAATTTTTTTTCCCCTCCCCGCTTCGTGGTCGTTGCATTCCTTTGGAGAAGCAAATCGCGTTGGATTCCAAAAAGGAGAGAGGAACCGTGTGTGAATAATCCCGGCTGCATGATAGCCCGAGAGGATTTCCTGAAAGAATCTGGCTGTGTAAAAAAGACCCCTATGCTTCTGCAGCTATTCCGGTGTTAAGGTAGGAGTACTAGATTTGCCGTTTGACTGTTCGTTTTCATTTTTTCTAATTTATCCTTTTTAACCCTTTTTTTTTTTTGGGGGGGGGGGTCAGTTCTGAAGGACCCCCAGCCCTTTGCCTGGAAGGAGCCGATGTGATGGAAGGAGATCAGCCCCCCCTGACTCCAGGTGAGGGTCCCGGCATGGCTTTTCCCAATGGTCCTTGGCCTAGAGGTCACCTGGGGCCACCACAAAGGTCCATCCAGCCCCAGTGGGACCTTCCTCACCTTCTCCCCTCTCCCTTCTCTCCGGGTTTGATGAAGAAGAGCTGACCACCCCCGCCGTGAAGAAGGCTCACACCCCAGCTCTCCATGGGGACGCCAACACTGCCGTCATCGCAGGTAGGGGCTCTCCTCACCCCCTTTGGACAGGTTGGTGACTTGGGTGGAGAAGAAACCCATGAAGTTCAACCAGGGCAAGCGTTGGGTGCTGCACCTGGGGAGGGATAACCCCCCCCCAAACCAGCACGGGTTGGGGGTGACCTGCTGGAAACCAGCTCTGAGGAGAAAGACCTGGGAGTCCCCAGGACCCAATGGGCCCTGGTGGCCAAGAAGGCCAATGGCATCCTGGGGGGCATCAGGAAGAGCATGGAGAACCTCAAGGGAGGTCATCCTGCCCCTCTGCTCTGCCCTGGGGAGGCCACAACTGGAGCACTGGGACCAGTTCTGGGCTCCCCAGTTCCAGAAGGACAGGGAACTGCTGGAGAGGGGACAGCAGAGGGCTACAACGATGATGAGGGGCCTGGAGCATCTCCCTGATGAGGAAAGGCTGAGGGACTTGGGGCTTTTTGGTCTGAAGAGAAGACTGAGGGGGGATCTGATCAAGGGTGGGTGTCAGGAGGATGGGGCCAGGCTTTTTCCAGTGGTGCCCAGCGACAGGACAAGAGGGACCGGACACAAACTGGGATATAAGAAGTTCCATCTCAACACGAGGAGGAACTTCTTGACTTTGAGGGTGGCACAGCCCTGGAAGAGGCTGCCCAGAGAGGTGGTGGGGTCTCCTTCTCTGGAGACATTCAAACCCCCCCTGGATGAATCCAACCTGCTCTGGGTGGGACCTGCTCTGGCCAGGGGGGTTGGAGGAGATGATCTCCAGAGGTTCCTTCCAACCCCATGTCGTTCTGTGACTCTGTGATCCCACCCCGGCTGGGTTTTGGTCGTTGGAGGCTAAACCCTGCTCCTCTCTCTTGCCTTCTTCTCCCCCCCATCCCCTCAGTGGTCATCACCCTGGTCTTCCTCACCCTGCTGACGGTGCTGGTGGTGATCATCATCTACCTGTACAGAAACAAAGGCAGCTACCTCACCTACGAGCAGCCGGCGGCCGAGACTGACGTCGCACTGCAGATGGAGGATGCTCCACCCAAAGAGAAAGAAGAGTATTTTATCTAAGACCCCCCCGCTCCGTGCCCCC